ATACAGTATTATAATCTATTTAGAATTCTATTTATTATTTCTATAGCTACAAGCTAAAATATTATTTGACTTGCCGCTAGCCATAGTACATTGTTTGGAAGGCTTAAGAAACTGATCAGCTAGACACCAAGATCCTTTTCTTCCATAACACTGTTAATGTTATTCACATCATAATTATCCTCATAATACAAATTATGATATTCCACACACATTACCTTGCATTTATTATAATTAAGAATCATCTATCATTTATTCGCCCAACTCATCAAATAATCCAATTCCTTTTATAAAGCAGTAGTATCCTTCACATAGGCAGCAACACCCAAAACCTTAATACCATCAGCTAAATTTAAATAATTTATTGACCATTCTTTTATCTATATCATTGATTTAAATAAAAAGAGCAAAGGTCCTAACACTGAGCTCTGAGATACCTCACTCGTGACGTTAATCCAGTTTGACTGAACTTCATTTATAAAACCCTCTGCTTTCTTCCATCTAGCCATTTTTCTTTTCAATGAGCCAACCAGCCCATAGATAGTTTGCCTATTATGTGTCACTTTGTCAAATGCTTTCTGAAAATACACATACACCAAATCTAAACTCGTATCCTCATCTACATAAGTAACGTCTTCAAAGAATGTCCAAAAATTAGTAAGGTAAGAATTTCTCCTGGAAAAGTCATGATGCCATCCAAAAAAAAAATTAGACGTTTTAAACAAACTTTGCAATTGTTAAAGAAACTATCCTGAGCAGTTTCTAAAAATCTGTTTCCCTCATGATTTGACTTAAACATTTCCCAATCTATATGCCTAAAATTAAACTTTTTCGTAATTGTAACTTCTTTCACAGCTGAGTTCTTTGTATCACAGTAGAGTTTCTTACTACTTTCATCAGCTTCTTCTGGTGGTTTGTAACAAATTCTAACTAAAAGCCTTCTCCCCTAATAACCTTTAAAAGAAACCCAAATAGGTTCAACTTCATTATTATTGGCTTTGATATCCTAAACTTGAACAGGCTGTAACTCACATTTTACATATAAAGCCATGCTTTCCCTATTTTTTAGTACTGTATCCCTATAATCCTTTATTTCAAAGAAATTCCTGTCATCAAAATTTTTTACATTTAGCCAGGTTTCAGTTACCCTATCATATCAAAATCTCCTGTTCCGACCAGTACTCTAAAGACATCCATTTTATTTTTTATACTTCTAGCATTACAATAATAGCAGTTTAGTCCACCATTAAAACTACGTTTGTTCCTCGCTTACACACTATATCCGTCTCTACGTCTTACTTTTCTTCTGGCCCTCTCCACTGTCTAATCATAGTTTAAAGTAGCCTTACAGTTACTTTAATAAACCTTGTAAACAAGTCAGTCCCTACGCTATATAAATGTAAATCATCCTTTCCAAAAACTTCCATTTTCCCGCTGCACTGATCCCACAAATATAACCAGACAACCTGCTCTTCCTTACATATTAACCTAAGCCTAGCACTCAGCCCTAGTGACCTACTTATAATTTCATCCCAAAAGTTAAGTCTTGGCAATATCCCTGACAGAATTAAGTAATTATGGCCCTTTTATACTTTTTATTGGACGTAAGTTCATTCCAGAATATAACAAACTGAATACTCTATTTAATAGGCTTTCTTCTAACCTGAGTTATATAATTTCATCCATAAGATACTGACGCTATCGTTGGTTTGAGACTACCCACCCTTTTTCATTACTTTCCGATGTAAATCTCCTAAACTTTCTGTAGATTAGTAAAATACTTTTCAAATGGTGATGTCAAGTATTCATTGGGATATTTCATAGCTTTTATATCACTCCTCCAAATATCCCATTTTCTGTGGGACGTATGTTGTGGATCATTATATTGCGGAAATTCAAAGCAAGTGTCAATAAACGTTATTCACTAGATACTGCCTGCCAAACCAAGATGTTATTGTACTTCTCTTTTTTCCATAATAACATAAATGATGTAAACAGTTTCCACGCTTATATATATATATGTATATACATAACACTTTGTTTCACTGTTCTGTTTACTTCTCACGGTCACGTCCTCGATCAAAACCTCTCCTATAGAGTTTCTAAAAGCCTCAATCTTTGTTTAGTCTGTTCATAGTACATTATCGCAATATTAGTTTATTGTGAGCACTTGAAGAGATGAAACTCCTGAACACGTTCACGGCTTTGCGGTTGTGAATTCTCCATCTTGATCACGTTCTTGAAATAACCTTCGAACATTTCTATTGCTAATTCTAGCTCCTTACAAATCCCGAATTTTGCCATTTATTTCTGAGAATAGAATCTTTGATATTAAAAAAATACTTTGAAATACAGGACTTTAAACTGCAAGCTGCAATAAAAAGGCCCAATTTTCTTTGCACCGCACCTGACCAAAATATAAATTTTATTTTTGCAATACACGTTTTCTTTTCCATTAAGTAAATAAAAACAATATGATGTTTCTCCATGTTTAATTATAACTTAAATTTATTATTTTTAGCTACATTGATTTATCATTCACTGCAATTAATTAAATGGAAACAAGGTTAAAGATTTAAAATAAGTGTGAAAAATAAATGAATGTTTATGAAAAGAAGCATCAATAAATCAAACTCAATCGGTCCATATTTAAAGGCACTCCGTAGTTGATATACAGCTATCTCGTGATAGCATTTATAAAGTGACTGTTTGCTTTTATTGTAGTTACAAAAATAATACAGAGGGTTTATTTGTTTCTTTGTTTTGTAATTAAGCACAAAGCTTCACAAAGAGCTATCTGTGCTCTGCTCCCCACGAGTATCCAAACCTGGTTTCTAGCGTTATAAGTCCGTAGATACACCACTGTGCCACTGGAGGGCAGTAGAGAGGGATGCGGCAAGAGAGACACCGATACTACCTGTACGTTGAATCCCGTTCATGTAGGTTTTTATAGTAACATTATGGCCGTTATTACATATATATGACGAATAAATACATTATCATAAGTTACAAATGGGCGAAATATCAACATCAAACACCGGTATATAACAAAACTAGAGTGCATATCATCAGCTTATACAAGCCGATATATTTCGGTTACATTACTGAAATATTTGTTTTTATTTTGTTATTGAATGATGGTTTATGGGATTACTTCAAGGCCACAACAAGCCGCAAGTGACGAATGATATGTTAACTTGATGTATTATGGGCTCAAAAACAACCAGACCTTATCCTTTATTTTAATTCTTCTTCACTTGTTTTATAACAGTTTCTCACCTGTCATATAAAGGTAATTCATGAAAAAGGATTTCCCTAACACTTTTTGTGTGCTATTTTGACAACAGTGTTCCTCCAAAAGTATACCATTTGACACCTTTTCTTTTGTTTTTGTTTTTATAATGTGAAACTATTATAATAGATTACATACATATGTATATATATATGTTGTGTGTGTGTGCGTATACATAGTTGTACACATGGTGGTGGGGTGAGGTGTTTATATGTTATGGGCTCAAAAACACAACCAGGAAAAATACTAAACATTAATGTGTTAAATGAGTACTTACGAATGCTTAAGGCAAGATGTGGAACAAAACACTTTACAATCATGGTTGTGATGACTTTTTCAATGACGTGAAATTCATGATCATAGAGTTCTCTTCTGGTAGATATGGTAACCTGGTGTTCTGAACTCTCATTAAAGTTCTACATACACCATGAATTTAATGGCAAATGTATAATTTCAAAACTATTTTCAAATCTTACATGGAATAAGTATTGATTACTTTTCGTCGACTACACCAATACCTCACATTAACTGACTCACTTGTCTTTTTGTTTCTACAGTGTATAACTGAAGTAGGACAGTCATGTTACCAATGCTACATACAATGACAATTCCTCGTTGAAGGTCCATGACTTTTATAGTCTGTAGCATCCTGTATCCGACTGGCTGGCCGTTGTAGCTGTTATTCTCTATAAATTGCAGTATACCTTATAATTTTGGAGAGACGAGACCATTACTAAACTGATGGGTGGCCGTTGTAGCTGTTGTTCTCTAGAAATTGCAGTATACCTTATAATTTTGCAGAGACGAGACCATTACTAGCTGATGGGTGGACTCTTGTATGTTCCATGAACACAATATACTCGAGTCTAACATAACAATAAGTGTTTGCTCCTAGACTTAAAACATTTATTTCAAATCAGGTAGATATTTTTAAATGTATATTATTTGTGTAAGTGTGTATTTTACAGTATGTTCCTTATATTTACAATATTTTAAAAGACTAAAGGTTAATTTTACACTGTGTAATTATTTCATACCGACCTATAATTTTACTGAATTATTGATTTCTATGAGCAAAAGATGCGTTTTGTTTATCTTTCATCAAGAAAAATATCGATAATATGTTATCGAAACAAAGTAAAAAAGCGGAATGTTCACTATAAATGTTCTATGGTAGATACAGATAAATATTATTAGGTTTGAATAAAACTAAGATTCTAAAAAATCACAAAACTAATAAAGCAAGAAATTTTAATGGAAAAGTTTATCATTCTATTATATATCTTCAACAGGCAATCGTACGTTTCTCTTTAGTGAGAAATTAACTAATAACACTTAAAAAAATAGAAACGTACTTATGAACTGGTTACAATTGATCAAAAACGGTAATTATCGAAATGACATATTTATATGTACACTTTTAAAAAAGAAGCTCCATCAAATGAGTTTGTCATGTTGAAGTATCGTTGAAAAACCCGCTGAAACATCGCGTACTTTACTCTGTGCATTATAAAAATGTATGGAATTGTAGTCGAATTCACAATTAAAAAATCATTGTATGTTATTTAGAAAAAAAGTATCATTTCCATGCATAAAGAAATATTTGTACTTGATAGATTAGACAGATCGTAGAACTTGATACAGAACAGGAAAGAAAACCACTTACAATATACATTTTTTCCAAGTTCCTCTTTGAGACGAGAGAAATTTCACTTAAGCATGAACAGATGGCGCCACAAGTAATGAAATTCTTATTTGAATAGGAATAATCTCTGTTAATATATATTTATAATATTATTGGTTCATTTTCAAACAAGATGATGATGATTAATTAAGGTTTGAAATCACAGTCACTATAGTTTCCAAGTAGTTTATAACCGCTAGGTTCCTCACTAAAAGAATAAGCAGGAGAGAATCAATAATACTATGATTAATCTTCCGTAACATTTCTCGGGATTTAAATATATTAGGTTTTAAGGTATGATCTTTGAAATTACTTTGAATTTGAGATCATGCAATCCTAAGATCCACAATTTGATTGTTTTATAAAATCAGGTTATCAGTTTTCTAGGAAACACTGAGTAGCATTTTTTATAAGTGAAGCTAGTATGCTCGGAAAATGAATCGGGGATGTTTGGTTTACGTCTCGTTACCGCCATCCCTTATTGTAGTGTATGGTTTATTTAATGGTTTATATGCGTTAATTTTACTGTTCTTTCCTTCTGATTGCATCTTATTGGGTATCACAGCTATAAATCTATTGATTGACAGAATTTCTATAGCTAATACTTTTTATTAGTGGATATTACAGCGAAAGGCTTACTGATTCATGGTGTCTCTAAGTATTACTTTTTTGTGAGCATTAAATCTATGAGTTCACTATCTGGTGACGTCTACAGATAATATAGACGTTTGTTGGTGTTAAAGCTATGGTTTTACCAACTCATATTGTCTCGAACTATTACTTTTTTTTTAGTGTATAGTAAAGCTATGACTATAGTTATTGATGGTGTCTCTAGGTGGTGCTTTTTATTAGTGAGTATTAAAGCTATACGCTTACCTATAGATGGTCCGTCAAGGTTTCCTCCAAACTCAGACTCGTCTTGGAACATGAAAGTGGCTTTGAATCCCTGCGAAGGAAAATGGCTGCGACTGCGAAAGAGGATGCTTAGATTAGGACCTGTTGAAACAAACTCCACAAAGGTGTTGGTGTTACATAGCTGTCCAATCATAGGACTTTTTATACTGTCACCGTCGTGAATCTCTATCTTATCTGGATTGATCAGGCAACTGTAATCAAAAGTTGTTTTACATGTTTAGTATACAATAAAAGTATAAAGTGAATGGAGTAATTTAACAATAGATTTATTCAAATGAAACCACACGCATATAAAGAGCTTCTTATTTGGTTTCTATCAAGCGTGAAGCTACACAATAGGCTATCTGTGCTCTACACAATGCGGGTATCATAACTAGGTTTTTAGTGTTATAAGCCCTCGGACTTACCGTTGAGCTACCAAGAGGGGAGCGTATATAAAAAGAAATAAGATAAAGAAAACAGCACATAGGAAACAAATAAATATAAATGTTAGGTAAATTTAAAAGACAGTTGTAGTGCACGTGGATAGTAATTCCCAATTGGTTGCAGTAATGGAACAGATTAACAATGAAAGTTTAATATTATCATCCCACTGTGAAATAACCGATGTTTTGTTCCTAAATGAATATGAATAATGATTTCCAATGATAAGCTTTAAAAATCCAGGTTCCAGAAATATATTACTGAAAGATTAAAAACCAAATTATTTAGTACAAATTTTACAAAAGTGAAGACAATTTAGTAGGCGTTATTTAAAAGGATGTAATAAATACGACAGAGGTCATGGGGACTGAGTTTGTGTCTGATTTAATAATACGTAAATAGCAAACATATGCTCTAATAGGAAATAAATTTAATGTAACTAATTTTTAAAGCATGCTACATACTTGATAAAAACTACTTCGTAAAGTTGGCACAATAATACGTAACACACACATCACAAGTAAGTTCTTAACATTATATGTCTATTCTCCATACATTTGTTTTTAGGAACAAACGTTTGGTTAACCGTCTATTTATATATTGCAAAAATAAGATAATCATGCTATATAATAGATGATTGGTTAAACCCTATAAATACAGAAATGTAGTCTGTAAGATACTTGGTAATACTAAAGATCTCTACGACCTCGAAACTGACATGACAATGGTTGTCTATATAGCATGATCGTTGTAATTCTAGACTAACTATTCTTGATCGACTGTTTAATAACATCTTTCACCAGAGTCCATTAACAATGTATATTTAACAGGAATGTTTTTCGGACTAGGAGAAACTTTGGACGTCAACCGTTAGTGATAAAATTATATATAAAAAAAAGACGAATGGACAAGGTTTGTGAAATGCGTCAGACACCAAAATATATGTCAACTGACTGACTTCTTTAACAGTTGGTAGGACTCAGCCCTTGTAAAAAGAAATATATGTCAACTGACTGACTTCTTTAACAGTTGGTAGGACTCAGCCCTTGTAAAAAGAAATATATGTCAACTGACTGACTTCTTTAACAGTTGGTAGGACTCAGCCCTTGTAAAAAGAAATATATGTCAACTGACTGACTTCTTTAACAGTTGGTAGGACTCAGCCCTTGTAAAAAGCACTAAAACTCTCTCTATATTGCAACCGAAAATAAAGCCAAGATCTTTTATCCCGAAATTTCAAATGTAAATAGGAAATCACAGCGTCAGTAGTTCTTAAAGAGTAAGTTGAACGGTTTCAACGGATATCCAGGTTTTTCTCATTTCCATGCTAGTTTAAACATAAATATTTAGGTACAAAGTTATATGTTTAAACAAAGTCTATAACAAGCTGTTTCTCACACTTAGCGGCGTATAGGAAGCTCTTAACACAACGTTACCTCAAAACATCAGGAAAAAAAAAAGCTTCAGATTCTTTATCTCTCCTTCTCTTATTTTTTTTTTGGAGGGGGGATAACTGAGAAAGTTAGGGAAATACCCGAGTACCTGGGACATATCGGAAAATATTTGTGTTCTCTCGTCATATATATATATATATATATTGCATATCACTGACATAACGGTGTTGCTGAATGACGTCAAAGCTCGAAACAGAAGTTTGGTTTTGGTACAGTATCTATTACCCGAGACGAACAAATTTATTTCATATTACAGTCCATCATGACAGTGACGTCATTGAACTTTCTTGGTACCCACAAAAGTTACATCTCAATTTCATTACGCGTCATACTAGGATTTTAACCATCGCATTTCCCGCCATAATCTTCTGCCGACATCTGTAGATAAATTGAATGAGCTATAATCAAACAAGGCTCTGTCGGCATTTTGTAAAGTCTATGTTACGCTGAGTCCAGGCTATTAAGCTAGCCAGAGGCGTCGGTCTGACCAGATATTAGTTTGGGAGCGGATCAGCCAGTACTGATAGTCATTGCTAATGAGGTATCTAATACTTATAATTACAAGTGTAATCCCAAAAGAATAAACAAAATAACTTGGATTATTTTAATTCTAAGTACAACTTGCTTTAGAAACAGTGAAGAGAACAAAAAAAAAGTTTTGGACGTGCAATATTTTTCGATTAGGCATTAAATTATTCCTTAGACTAACAACGACCAAATAAAACCATGGCACTCTTAAGATTTTTAAACCCAATTACTACGATATCAATGGTTTGTTTTATTCACCATAAAATCTGGACATGTCATTAAAAAACATAGATTAATTAATTTAATTCATGATCAACTATAAAGGCGTTGTAAATCAAAATTTATTAGAAATAAATTGGGCAAAGCCTGGTTTACTTAGTGGTTAGAATACCCGGACTCTCAAACTGAGGGTTCATGATTCGCTTCCTATTTCAGCAAAACGCGCTTCTCACTTTGGAGCCGTGGACGAGCTATAATAATAACGGTCAGATCCCACATTCGGTCAGACCAGTATAGCCCAAAAAATGGCGATAGGTCAGACCAGTATAGCCCAAAAGATGGCGATAGGTCAGACCAGAATAGCCCAAAAGATGGTGATCGGTCAGACCAGTATAGCCCAAAATATGGTGATAATTGTTGTTGACCAGCGGCTTTCTTTTCTCTAGTCTGTTTGTTCAAAGTTATAGCTGGCTATGAGCAGATAGCCGTTGTACCGTTATGTGTGGTTTTTGTGAAAATGTCAAACAAATCAAACCTGTTGGTTTACCTGTACTGTACGATATTTTCTTATGATAGTTGCATCTTAATTCAATCTTTTAACATATATTCATTGAAGTAGCAAACTCTTTTTTATCAATACTTTATTATTTTTGTAGTACACACGAATACTCACACACGTACCTACACACATTCTCTGGCTGATTATATAGGAGTTATGCTATCTGACCTGTAGAC